ACTGTTTGTTTTAGTTTTCATAGACTAGATGAAGTAGGCTTGAGTTGATAAACACTTATGCTAGAATTAAAATCATTAGTTAGTTGTTAAGGCTTCACAAAACTCTTATTTCTTTCCTGCCGCTAATAGGGTTGCCAAGTTGATCTTCGCCGGGAGCAGGGGGCTCCCAGCCGGCATCTGATGACGCCAGGTACGCTGGGGGCGGGGCCACGGCCATACGAGGGAAAACCGTAGAGTTTTCCCTTGGATGGCCATGGCCCCGCCCCCAGCGTACCTGGCGTGGTCGCGTCACTTCCAGGTGACGCGCACGTCAGGGAGGAGTTCCCCTGGGGCCCGATCCGGCGGCACCGGGGAACGGGCCTCTGGGGCGGGGGTTTCCCCACCCCCCGGGGGGACTTGGGAAGCCTAGCCGCTAATATCACCACCCTTCTGGATCTTGTCACCTTTAGGCTAACTCCACCACTGCCTTGGGCATATTCATGATGTTGATTTTACAAAGGACTGCTCTGCCTCTGTCCTCTGTGCTGTGGAAGACCCTGTGTCTGTCACTTTGTCCCCTTTGGTATTACACAAAGCCTTTCTTCACCTGGCTGTGGCTCTTCTTTTGATCTGTGATCTGTGCCCATTAATACAGCTGCCTTCCACTGAATTCACTTGGTCTTCAGTGGCCTACCAGGAATCTGGTAACTCTTAAGTGGTATGCCTAGTGCTTCATTTCCCATTTTATCCTCACAACAGCCCTGTGAAGAAGCATAAGCTGAGAGAGTATGCCTGGCCCAAGGTCACCCAGAGAGCATCAGAGGAGAGTGGGGATTTGTGGCTGGCTCTCCCAGATCCTAGTCCAGCATTCTAACCACTATACTATACTGGCTTGTCTTCTATCTCATTCCATGTTTTCCACATAATGTTGCCAACTTCCAGGTGGGGCCCGGAGATCTCCCAGAATTACGACTGATCTCCAGCAGACAGATATCAATTCCCCTGGAGAAAATGGCTGCTTTGGAGGGTGGAATCTATGGCATTATACCCTGATGAAGACCCTCCTCTCTCCAAGCCCCACCCTCCCTAGGCTGCACCACCAAAACTCCAGGAATGTCACAACTCAGAGTTGGCAACCCGGTTTCCACAAGACAAAGCTCTTCCCTGCTCGCTCTCTCGCTCTCTTCCCCCCCCCCCCCATTGGAGTCCCTAGGAATCAGTCTTTGGCTGCCTTTTTTCTGCCTGTACATATTGTTCCTGGATAACCTCATCAGACTGCATGGCTTTTAGTGGTGCCTATGTGCTCATAATACTCTGCTCTTCTTCTACCCCTGAACTTTCTCCCGTCATCTAGCCTGCATCTCTCGTTGCCTGTTCGATGTTTTCACTTGAGCCGGTTGTCCCTGTTCCAAGACTGAAGTTGAACTTCTCACCTTTCTTTCCAAGCCTTCCTCTCTTACTGTACTCACCATATCCATTGACAGTAACCTTGTAGAACTGACCTTGGACTCTTCTTTGATTCATGTATTTCGCTCAAACATCGTCTAGCCAGGCTAATGCAAAGTCACATAGCTTCTTTCTTTACAGTACTGCAAAAATGTCGCCCATCCTCTTCAGCCCATGGCAAAAGCTCTGGCTTATGCTCTGGTCACTTCCTGCCTTGGCTATTGTAACCTCTTCTTCTCTGCTCTTCTCTTACCACACCTCAGCCCCCTCACCTCTGTCCAGGATTCTGCTGGGAAAATCATTCATGTCACACCCCTCCTTAGTCCCTAAACTGGCTTCCTGTCCATTCCCAGGTCCAGCCCAAACTTTCTTTACTTTCAAAGTCCTCCAAGAATTTGATACTCCCCTCTACCTGCCTATGACCTTCACTCCCTCTTCTCCACCATCTTCAACCATACGAAGGTTTCCTGCTCCCTCAAAGAGCGCCACCCTTTTCTCCTTGCTGCCCAGTATGGTTGGAACTGTCTCCAAGAACACTTGCACGAGAACACCCCTCTCTCTGACTCCCTCCCCCCTTCAAACACCTCTCGGTAATTTACTTTTGATACAACTTCTTAGTCACCCTCCTGCAGGACTGGCTTAAGTTTTTCCAGTGAAACAAGCAGGGCTTCACTGTGGAAGTCATGGAGGTGATGGACGCCTGTGGCTTCCCCAGCCCATACCCCCTGCAGCCAGGCAGAAGGTGAGCCTGCTGGAATTCACCTTCTTGCGGGGGGGGGCAGAGCTGCCAGTCTGAGGCAGTGGATGCTTGTCACTTCCTCCACATAGAGTGCCAGAGACAAGGACACAGGAGGACGACAAGCCCCAGCTCTGTTGCCTGGGCCACTGGAGCTCAACTTGGAGGTGGATGGCATGGTGCCATGGCAGGTGTGGGATGTGATGGCAAGCAAAAGCCATACCCATTGCCTCCTCTAATGCCACCGCCATCCCCTTCACAAATTGTGATGCCCAAACAGCTGCTTGGGTTACTTGTGTAGTGAGTCGGCCCTGCCTTCCTCTCATAAAACTAAGCCAAAGCACGCATAACAGACAGACTCCCCTCACTTTCCCCTATCTTCACCTCCCCCCTCTCCTTTTGCTCTCTCCCTGTTATGTCAGTTTCTAGATTGTTCATTCTTTAGGCACTGACCCGTCTTGCTCTGTAAAGTGCTCTGATGCATGGATGCCATTGCATTGGGGTGGCTTTGCCTGCAGTCCAATGAGTTGAGGAGCAGACCACAGTGCAGCCCTGGAAGGAGGCTTGGGTGTATGCAGCAGCCAGACTCACTGGCCCATGTGCTTCTATCCCAGATAGTGCAAAGCTCTCTTTGTCTGTTCTGTTTGCAGCACCTATACTACAAGATGCCCACATATGCACAAGTTGTTCCAGACCTCAGTAGCCAGAAGGGCATGTTTTGGAGAAAACATTGGGATAAAAGTTGCTTGCTTTATATTTTTCATTCAGAGGTTTATGGTTGATTCATATTTTATTTGCAGACTAGTTTGCTGCATATCTCCTGATGAATTCTGGGGATTTGTTGTAGACACATACAAGGGAGCTGTGGGCAGTTGTGGCTCTCATCATGTATCCATTGCCTCTTCATCTTGAAAGAGCAGTTCTCAAAAGAGCTTTCTCAGACCCACCTACCTCACAGGGTGTCTGTTGTGGGGAGGGGAAGGGAAAGGAGATTGTAAACCACTCTGAGACTCCAAATGAAGGGTGAGATAGAAGTAGAGAAGAAGAAGAGATTGGATTTATACCCCGCCCTTCACTACCTTCCTCCAAGGAACTCAGGGTGGCGCACCCCATTGCTCTTTCATTTTATCTTCAAAGCAATGCTGCAAACTACATTAGGATGAGAGAGGGTGACTGGCCCTTGGCCACCCAACAAGTGGATTTGAACCTGGATCTCCCAGATTCTAGTCCAACACTCTGACTACGACTGGCTCACTTCATTATACCCAGGCCATTTCTACATTCCCCATTTAAACTCAGCATAGGGGTTTTGGGGGGAGGAGGGTATATTTTACTTGTGCAGCAAGAAAGGTAACTGGCTACTGACATTGCAGGGACAGTGTCTCCTCTTTTTAAACCTTCAGTTTCCCCACACATTTCATCTGTGTTCCTCATCAGTGGTTGCCTCCTTATCTTTTCCCTTCTTGATGTTTATTTCCCCAGCTGATGTCAGAATCTTCTGTTTGGTGTCTTAATTGCTTTGGGATAAATTGTTGTGTTACAAAGGAAGCTTTTAACCTGAGGTGAGCAGCATGCCTCAAGAGAGGCAAATGTTTTCAAGGCAAGGTCACTACCCTTTCAATATGAGTGTACTGACAAAGTAGTCTTTTCAGCATCACTGTTACAAGTAAGAGAGAGATCATGGGAAGTTCAGCTCTGGATCTAAACACATGCCCATTGGGAGAGACTTCGTTATTATTGGGATATTTGGTTAATGTAGCAGAGTTTGCCCAGTCATAGAGGCATGATACTGAGTGCAGCAATCCCAAGAAGTATCTGGCAAAAAAGGTAAACTTACATTTATTCAAGTAGATCCAGTTCACATTCAAGTTGCACTCAAGAGAAGAGGTGGTGAGCTGCCCCTCACCGGCAGTCTTTAAGCAGCAGCTGGACAAATACTTGTCAGGGATGCTCTAGGCTGATGCTGCATTGAAAAGTATGCAGACGGAGAGTGATTTCAGCAAAGCGTACTTTATTCGATCAGGAACAAGACAACTTTGGCCGGCTCGCAGGCCGGCTTATATCTCCCGAGAAACCGCCACCCAAAACACACCCCTACTTCCCTATAGGTCATTTACAGTCCCATAGGCTCTCGGCCGGGAACCTAGCCCCCTGATTGGAGCGGGCTGGGATCCGCATAGTCCATTGTCTCTTGGAGCGAAGCTCTGCGTTTGTCTCTGGACTTGTCTGGACTGGGCTGGATACAGGGGGCTGGACTAGGTGGCCTGTATGGCTCCTTCCAACTCTGTGATTCTATGATTCTAAAACAAAGAAGCCTAATCTAAATAGTACTTTTCCTATTACAAATGGCCAGCTTGTCCGGCATCATGTGTGTGGGAATATGCGGGCATGTGTCTTCACAGAAGGCCATGTGAAGTGAGAGGACAGAGAGAGAGAGAGAGAGAGAGAGGGAGAGAGAGAGAGAGAGAGGGAGGAGGGGTCAGAGGCAGCTCCCAGGTTGCCAAAGGAGACAACTATACTCACTTAGCGTGATGTAGAGCCCCCCCAATGCCCAGGAATGCTGAGTCACTCACTCCAACATTTGTGTCCTAGAGTGTTGGTGTGTTAGGGTCCCTGGGCTTTCTGTGTAATCTACCCAAGGTTGAATGGCGGATAAAGGCAACACATGGGCTGTAAATGGATGCAATGTAAGTGAGCTGCTACCCTGCATGATAGCTACCTGTGACCTTAATGTACCGTACTGTGTGAGTTGATAACATAAATTCTTATGGCTCTTCCAATAATTTCCCTCCTTAATTTTTTCTCTCCCTTCTCCCCCCCCCCAACTTTCATTTCTCAGCTAAAGCGTATAACCCAGAGTTTTATTATGACACCCCTAACCCCATCCGGAAGCAATCCAAGAATTACTCCTATATCTTGCAGTGGACACAAAAGGAACCTGATGCTGTTGATCCCATCCTGAGTTACAGGCTGGATGTCCAGCAGGTAAGACCAAGCAACACCACCAGCAACTTAAGCACCAAAGTCCATCTATTGAATGAGGAGTTTACGATGGTTAAAACTAGAATGTTTTGTATTCTGTTTAAACTGAGGTTACATTAACCATCCTGTGGAGACTTGGGGCTGCTGTGTGCCAAACAGGCTGGAACTGAGGGCATGGCCCTTCTTTCCTGATTTACACAGTGGAGAAGCTAGTCTGTTTTAAAGTCTGGTGCTGTAAATGACTGAGAGCTAAGAGAGCCTGCTGCTTCCCCTCGGAATTTTCATGCTCAGCCTCCTGAAAGAAGCCGTAACGGAACAAGATCTCATAGTCATTAGTAGGGATTGTAGCCTTTATAGGCCAACAATTCAGATGAGTGGAATTTCAGCCTCTTCACTTTGAACAAATATGGATTGTAGATTGGAGAGCTCTCCAGGCTGGAGCTGCAGGGGGAAAGTCATTGCCTGTTTGTATTGCACAAAGACCTTCATAAAGTTGTCATCTTAATAGTGGGATTCTGATGGAGCAAAGTGTGGGATATAAGGGCTTTTGAGCATGAAATGGAACTATCAAGGATACAAAGGGGAAGAGGACAATGGTAGATTAGGACCTAGAGGGGCAAGTGCTTTGTTCATTGAAAATGTGTGTGTTCTAATCATGGGATTGTTAATAAGACTTAGAATCAAGAGCCCTAAAGATCACTGCTTTCAGTCTTACATTTCAGCTAACACAAAGTTTTTGGATTGTTAGCCAATTGTCAGCTATAAAGCCACTGAGATTAATTTGGGTTAAATCTTTTTTTTTTGTTTTAAACCACACTGAGCTATGTGATTGTGCAGTAGGGTTTGTACATTGCTGGTAAACCAGATTTTGTATTTGAAGCAAAAGCATTCCGGTCTTCTCTTGTGCCTTAAAGACAGAGTGGAAAGAGCAAGATTTTTCAGTGATCAAAAGCTGTGACTGTCCCTTTTATATTATCCCAACAGATTTAAAGCAATAGATGACCCCCACTACCTGCCCACGCACAGTTCTATTCAGGCCTCGGTTCCTGCTAGAGTGCACTGGAGCACCGCTCCGCCAGTCAGGAGCCCAGGGGGCAGGCACATAAGCCCTGCCCCCGGCTCTCACGAGCCATCATTTGGGCAACCGTGGGGGGGGGGAAACGTTCCCCCACCTCCCTGAGCCCCGGGGTGGTGGCCTTGGACTCGTAGGGGCAAATTCCACCTCTCGCGCGAGAAGTCATTCTGGCTGCCCCAGCTTTCCTTAGGGGCTCTTTAAAAAGTTATGGCCACTGCTGCTGTTCTCAGTGGCAGCTGCGACACCCACAGGGGGGGGGGACGTTCTCCTGCGTCCCTGAGCCCCGGGGTGGTGGCCTTGGACTTGTAGGGGCAAATTCCACCTCTTGTGAGAAGTCACATGCGAGAGGTCATTCTGGCTCCCCCAGCTATTCTTAGGGGCTCTTTAAAAGGTTATGGCCGTCGCCGCTGTTTTCGGCGGCAGCTGCGACGCTGGGGCGAAACGTTCTCCTGCATCCCTGAGTCCCGGGGTGGTGGCCTTGGACTCATAGGGGCAAATTCCACCTCTCACAAGAGGTCACATGCGAGAGGTCATTCTGGCTCCACCAGCTCTCCTTAGGGGCTCTTTAAAAGGTTATGGCCACCACTGCTGTTCTCGGCGGCAGCTGCAATGCCGTGGGGGTGTGTGTGAAACATTCTCCCTCCTCCCTGAGCACCGGGGTGGCGGCCTTGGACTCATAGGGGCAAATTCCACCTCTCACGTTGTCACTCAGACATCACACGCGAGAGGTCATTCTGGCTCCCCCAGCTCTCCTTAGGGGCTCTTTAAAAGGTTATGGCCGCTGCCGCTGTTCTTGGCCGCAGCTGCAACACCTGCAGAGGGCGGGGTGGGGCGAAACATTCTTCTGCCTCCCTGAACCCCGGGGTGGTGGCCTTGGACTCGTAGGGGCAAATTCCACCTCTCGCGTGAGAGGTCATTCTGGCTCCCCCAGCTGTCCTTTGGAGCTCTTTAAAAAGTTATGGCCACCAACACTTTCGGCAGCAGCTGCAACCACTGCGCGGGGGGGACTGCTGAGCTTCCCTCCCCGTCTTTTTCAGCTCCGTGCCGGAGCGCCGGGGCTGAAAAATGGCCTGCAGAGCCACTCCGTGCCCTCCCCTCCTTTTTCAGGCTCTGCACTAGAATGTCGGCCTCAAAAAGGGCCAGCCGAATGTCAATTTCAGCCCCATTATATCCTATGGGCTATGAAGTCAATGGCGAAAACATAGGGTATATTCTGAGGGCTGGAGGGGAGGGAGTTTGAGGGAGAGGCTCCGAACTCACAGGGTAGCTGCTGGAGCCTCTCCCCAAGATACCAACCAAGTTTGAAGAACATTGGACCAGGGGATACAATTCTACCGGCCCCCAAACAGGTTGCCCCTATTCCCTCTATTGTTCTCTATGGTGGGAAAAAAGTAACTTTCTTCTCACCATAGAGAACAATGGAGGGGATGGGGGCAACCTGTTTGGGGGCCTGTAGAATTGGACCCCCTGGTTCAATGTTCCTGAAAAATGGCAGGTATCTTGGGGAGATGCTCCAGCAGCTACCCTGCAATTTTGGAGCCTCTCCCTCAAACCCCCTCTCCTCCAGCCCCCAGAATATACCCTGTGTTATCGTCATTGACTTCAATGGCCCATAGGATATAATGGGGCCAAACTGTGGGAAGCCGATTCAGATCAGAGAATCTGATTCGGACTGCAGCAGCCTGAAAGGGGCCCGAATGGGCCATTTTCGGGGGTGCATTCGTTCAGACGAACCAAATGCACATCCCTCCAGCAGCTGACTTACTCGGGCTCTCTGCAGCCGTGGGGATCCTGAGCAAGCCAAGGGAAGGGAAGGTGGTTTAAACCGCCTCTCCTTCGCTCCAGCAGCCGGCTTGCTCGGGCTCCCCGAGCAAACCAAGGGAAGGGAAGGTGGAGGAGCAGCTGGAGACATTGAGCCTCAGCTCCACAAGTAATGAGCACTGGAGCCCCGCCCCCAGCAGCCCTCAGGCCGGAGCACCTGGAGCAGTCTTGGGAGGCGGATTGGCATAAAGCAAAACCAAAAGCGCAGGAACTCGAGAGAACTCCAGGAATGGAGCCGGTTCCTCTTCCACAGCCCAAAATGCGACCCACGAACCCTGAGCTTGCTTTTTCTCATTTGCGAGTCTGGCCTCCGCACTCCTTTAACGAGGCAGCCCTGAAGCTTGGGGCGGCAGGAAGTTGGTTCACTTAGGAGTCTTGATCCTGGTTGTGTGGTGGGCTAGTTGTGGCAAATGGTAGGGAAGCTCAGTATTTCTGTATACAGTTGTAGGGGCTTTATTGCAATGTGGTATGGCGTGATATTATGTTCTTATTCCAGTGTGGGGTGTGTGTGGGGCAATGGAAGCTGAGTGATAGGGTCTCTCCAAGTGATTGCCAGAACTGAGATGCGTCCTGGTCTTGTGTCTTACAGATAATCTTACAAATAGTTATATCATGCTTACAACTTTAAAAGGATCATAATGCTGATTGTGTGAACTTATGCAAATCATGAGAGGTAGAACAGGAAGGGTTGCAACAGTGTTTAGTTCTTGTGGCTCTTTCTTACACGCCCAGGAAAATGCTGATCGCCACTTTGGGGGCAGGAAGCAATTTTTCTCCAGGCCAGTTTGGCCCCCAATAATCCTGGAGGGGTTTTTTTTATCATATTCTGGGCGTGGAACAGGGGTCACTGGGGTGTGTGGGGGGTATTGGTGAATTTCCTGCATTGTGCAGGGGGTTGGACTAGATGACCCTGGAGGTCCCTTCCCACTATGAGTCTATGATTCTATAATTCACCCAGGCTGGCTGTGGGCACGCCAGCACCTCTGTCAGGAAGAAGCGCCTGAGATCCTCCCCCTCCCCTTTTCCTTCGCTCAACTTGGAGGCGAAGGGAAGGGAGAGGGGGGAAAGAATGGATCCCAGGTGCTTCTGCCTGTCAGAGGGGCTGGTGCACACTTCCGGTGATGTCAGGGGGTGTGGCATATGCTAATAAGTTATGCTAATGAGCTCCTGCAGCTCTAAAATGACCCCTGGATAAAGTAGGCCTTGAAAGAGAGAAAACTGTCTCTTGCATTTTATATATTTCCGTTTTGTTTCTCCTTTGTGAAAAAACAAGTCTCCCCCCCCATCTTTATTTTTGTACCTGTTTACTTTCCTCACATTGAATGTACCCTGTTAAAATCAACACATTTTCAGTAGCTTTTTTTTTAAAAAAAAAAAATCAGTTGCGTATAACTGGCATCACTGAAACAAAGAACTGTCAATAAGGAAAATTAGTCAGATCAATAAATGTATGTTAGCTCTGCAGGACACCTGGAAGGATACTGGACAAGACAACCACTAGTCTGATCTGGCTGGGCTGTCTTTAGTTCTTAACAACAATGACAAGAACACCAGTGACCATATCAGCTCCTCTTTAGTTAAAATCCCATCTTACTACTAGAGCATAAGTTATCTGAGAGTCTCAGAGGAAGCTGTGAAATGGCTCCAAAACCAGTTTTGGCTTATTTGGGATGGTTTATGACTTTTGATATGACAAAATGATGGCAGGGTTTGCCTGTAAAGACTGGATTTTTGCAGACACATCTCTGCACTAGGGCTGCCAACCCCCCCGGTAGGGCGGAATCCCCCCCGCCCCGGAGGCCCGTTACCCGACGCCGGGGAATCGGGGCCCGGGGGGAACTCCGCCCCGGCGTGCGTGTCACCCGGAAGTGACGGTCGCACGCTGGGGGCGGGGCCACGGCATTTGAGGGGAAAACTCTTTGTTTTCCCCTCAAATGGCGTGGCCCCGCCCAGCGCGTAACGTCACTTCCGGTAACGCTCCAAACAGGATAGGTTTTGAATATTCAATTCAAATTAGGAATCTCATTATTGCTAATTAAATTGATTAATTTGTACATTCTTATTTGATAATTGCACAAAGAAATATAAACTTCAGTTACTATATATT